GAGGGTGAGGCAGGCAGATCACCTGAGGTCAGGAGTTCGAGACCAGCCTGGCCAATATGGTGAAACCCTGTCACTACTAAAAATGCAAAAAATTGGCCGGGTGTGGTGGCGGGCACCTGTAATCCCAGCTACTTGGGAGGCTGAGGCAGGAGAATCACTTGAACCCAGGAGGTAGAGATTGCAGTGAGCCGAGATCACACTATTGCACTTCAGCCTGGGCAACAGAGCAAGATTCTGTCTCAAAAAAAAAAAATTTTTTTTAGTGCACACTTGTGGTCCCAGCTACTTGGGAGGCTGAGGCAGGAGGATTGCTTGAACCTAGGAATTGGAGGCTGCAGTGAGCTATGATTGCACCACTGCACTCCAGCCTGGGTGACCAAGTGAGACCCTGTGTCAAAAACAAAAACAAAAATAAAAAAAACAGCCCCTATGGGGACAGGGTGACAGACTCTTTGGCTTTGAGCATCCAAGTGGGATGTGACATCTGCCCACTCTGTTTGAACGACGGGCAGGATCTCAACCTGAGAGGGGTCAGCATCCTCCTCCCCCAAAATGCATCACCTTTACGCTTCCTTTCCCACCCTGGGGTTCCCTCTGACCCCCTTTCCTTTCTCTGTTGCAGCATTCTGTGTCTGGCTGACTCTGCTGGGAGCTGAAACCCAGGACTCCAAGGGTGAGTCTGTTGGGAAGCAGAAAGCACAGTCCACAGCCAGAGTCTGGGGAGGGCCCTGGACCCCCGCCCAGCCCCCTTCAGCCCAGGGAAAGGGAGGCCTCGTGCATGGGAAACTCAGTGCCCTGGCTCATTTCCCTCAGTGCCCCCTTTTTGTGTGTCCCCTTGCCTCTCACCTTCTGACCGTGCTCCCTGCTCTTGCAGACTGTGCCCGGTGGTGCCCTGAGAACTCCTCGTGTGTCAGCGCCACCGCCTGTCGCTGCAATCCAGGGTTCAGCTCTTCATCTGAGATCTTCACCTCCCCCACGGAGATTTGTGACGGTACAGAGGCTTGAGGGCAGCGCAGGGTACATCTGAGATTATGAGGCTTTGCCCAGTGCCAGTGGGGACAGAGGTTGTTGTTAGGGGCCACAGCCTCACCTTCCAGACTATCATCATGGACAGAGAAAAGACAAAGAGGGCAGGCGTGGTGGCTCACACCTGTAATCCCAGCACTTTGGGAGGCTGAGGTGGGCAGATCGTTTGAGGTCAGGAGTTTGAGACCAGCCTGGGCAACATGGCGAGACCTTGTCTCTACGAAAAATACACAAAATAACCGGGCATGGTGGCACACATCTGGAGTCCCAGCTACTTAGAAGACTGAGGCGGGAGGATTGTTTGAGCCCAAGGGTTTGAGGCTACAGTGAGCTATGATTGCACCACTGCACTCTAGCCTGGGCAACAGAGTGAGATCCTGTCTCAGGGAAAGGAAAGGGGAGGGAGAGGGAGAGGATGAGAAGAGGGAGAGGGGAAGGGGGAGGGGTACGGGGAGGAGAAGGGAGAGAAAAGGAGGCAGGCAGGCAGGCAGGCAGGAAGGAAGGAAGGGAGGGAGGGAGATAGGCCCGGCAGGGTGGCTCATGCCTATAATCCCAGTACTTTGGGAGGCCAAGGTGGGTGGATCACCTGAGGTTGGGAAGGTCGGGAGTTTGAGACCAGCCTGACCAACATGGAGAAACCTCGTCTCTACTAAAAATACAAAATTAGCCAGGCATGGTGGCATATGGGCTCATGCTTGTAATCCCAACTACTCCGGGGGCTGAGGCAGGACAGTCGCTTGAACCCGGGAGGCAGAAGTTGCGGTGAGCCAAGATCGCGCTATTGTGCTCTAGCCTGGGCAACAAGAATGAAACTCTGTCTCA